TTTTTCCTTATGTTCAACTTTTGTAAGTATTTGTGTATGTGCTGTCTTTCTGCTAAAGAGTGAAGTTAAAGTTTAAAGCAGAATTTACTTATAAAACAAAACATCAAATTTTAACCCTTATAGCTATCCATATTTGCTGAAAATACAATTCTGGTTAGTAATTAAAAATTCCAGTTACCGTATTTGTTATCATTTTTAGGTGACTTATTTCTCCGTCCATAATTCATGGGTTTTTCATGATGAATAGCCAGCTTCTCCATTTAGTGAGCAGCATAATTTAAAACTAGTATCTACCTTATTTGTCTTCAAATGCTAAGTAGAGAGTACAGGCCTTTCCATTCTGTTCACTCTTATGATTGTTTCTTTTGCTGTGCAGAAGCTCTTAAGTTTAATTAGATCCCATTTGTCTGTTTGGCTTTTGTTGCTATTGCTTTTGGTGTTTTAGTCATGAAGTCCTTGCCTATGCCTATGTCCTGAATGGTATTGCCTAGATTTTCTTCTAGGGTTTTTATGGTGTTAGGACTTACGTTTAAATCTTTAATCCATGTGGAGTTAATCTTTGTATAAGATGTAAGGAAGGGACCCAGTTTAACAATCCTGCACAATCTGCACATGTATCCCAGAACATAAAGTATAATAAAGAGAGAGAGAGAAAGAGAGAGAGAGAGTGAGACAGAGAGTACAGGTTTTCTCCTGGTGACCAATTGAAGTTTCCCAAACAGTAATCTTTCCAGTCTCAACTGAGTTTTGTCTCCCTGAAATGGGGTTTTTGTATTTCCTCTTATTTATGGTATTTTCAGGATCTCTCAATTTATCATTCCTATAAATATTTGCCCAACTGTCTAGAATGGATGTAGGTGTTTAGTTCATGTTACTTTCCTTTCACATTTGACTTTTGGTTTTGTAAGAAAATAGCTGTGGAATATAAAGACATATTTTGGAGTTTTATTAACACACTATAAACTTTATTCAGTAATGCTTTAAATTTCTAACTCTCTAAGTGACACTGAATGAGAAACTTTGTTTTCCAGGTTCGTATTTATGTGGATGCTATAATTAATCATATGTGTGGTAATGCTGCTGGTGCAGGAACAAGCAGTACTTGTGGAAGTTACTTCAATGCTGGAAATAGAGAGTTTCCAGCAGTCCCATATTCTGGATGGGATTTTAATGATGGTAAATGTAAAACTGGAAGTGGAGATATTGAGCTCTATAATGATGCTTCTCAGGTAATTTTTTTAAGATAGTGATCTAAAAAAGAGTGCAATATGCCTTTTATTATACACATGCAGCTAATTGAACTTCCTTTTAAATACTATAGATCTCTTAGGGACACAGGTTAACAGGTTTGACTACTTCAGGAGACTCAAATCCATGTTTTAAAAATGTTAACTATTTATTTAAGATTGTTTAATCAATACACATTTGCCCACCTTAAAAAACTCCCAATCAATTAAAAAGCTCATCAACTTTATTTCCTAAATTCTGTTTTCTACTAGATAATATTTCAACGATACATCCAAAGTAAGGTGTCAACATCCTCAGTGCCCATTGCAAAGAAGTCTCTATAGAATATCTATTGATGGATAACTGAAGGAATGATTAATCAAATGTATTCTTAGGTGAAATATGATGTTTTGTGAATCAATCACATTTTTATCTCAACAGATCAGAGATTGTCGTCTGGTTGGTCTTCTGGATCTTGCACTGGAGAAAGATTACGTGCGTTCCAAGATTGCCGAATATATGAACCATCTCATTGACATTGGTGTTGCTGGCTTCAGAATTGATGCTTCCAAGCACATATGGCCTGGAGACATGAAGGCAATTTTGGATAAACTGCATAATCTCAACACTACCTGGTTCCCTGCAGGAAGTAAACCTTTCATTTACCAGGAGGTACCTCCATACATATATGCATAAAAATATCATCTTATTCGTTAGAAAAGCCATAGCAGATTATCTTAAAAATGCAATTTCTGTAGGATAAGGACTGAGTCACTTATATAAAACAGTGTTCTCTAACCTCATCTTCAGATACGGCATATCTAATTCTTTATCACAACAGGTTTTATGGAGGTTCACAGAATGTAAGAGAATGATAATAGTTATGTCTTTATTTTCTTTGGAAAATGAAAAGAGTTAATATTTATCAAGAATTGTCAGTCAGATAGTAAATATTGTGTTAGTATGAGCTGTTCCCATTATTATCATTGACATACAAGACTAAAAATTAGATAAGTATTCTCACAGGACAACAGGTAACCCTGACATTGTATTTCTTTTAATATTGTAGTGTATATTTCATCAAAAAATAAAGAATAAAATAATATTACCTGTTGAGATTAAGAATAAGAAAACCATGTTGAGCATTTCATTTCACAAACAGGACTATGCGTGCTGGCTCCTGCATGCAATCTCAGCACTTGGGGAAGCTGTGGCAGGAGGATTGCTTGAGGCCAGAAAAAAAAA